AACACTCGAGCAAAGAAACTATATGAATATTTCTTGTCCTTTTGTTTTTCAGAAATATTTCCGAGATTACTGGAATATTTTTGATTTCATCGTTGTGTTAGGAGGTCTGATGGATGTTCTGGTGACAGTCTATGACAAATTTGCCAAGGAAACGCAGCAGGTAACTTAGGTGGTGCAGATCTGCCACATTTACTATTTCTTGGCGCATGATTAACCTTTCTACTCTCAAAAGTGATTGACAAGTGAGTTCTCCCTATAAAATCCATACAGTATCCAGCAAACATGTAATGAGAATTTTCAAATTTATTAGGTAAAATTTATTTATTTATTGTCTTGATTTAACATTAAATTCTTTTAACTATTTTACAAGGAAATGTGTAGTAGCTAGAGGAGAGAATTAACAATCAGCTGGTCTTAAGAGTTAAGGGGCTAGGAAACGTGATTTCCGTATACTTATTTCAGTTGGGTATGACTCTGTTTCATGCCTTTAAAGAAAATTGGAAGATGTTCGCATTAGCATGGTGAGGTGTACACAGTGAGTGTTCTTCAAAACTCAGATTCTGACGAAGAACCTAGGGAGTACTTTTAGCGGAGAGATTGAAGATTTGTTAACCTTAGAAATAAAATCAGTGAACGATTGACTTTATCATTATTTTTTGGGGGCAAATAATTAATTTCAGTTGTAAATCTAATTTTGCAGGAAGGTGGTTCATTAGGTATTGGGATTGACCCCAGTATGTTCCGTTTGTTTCGAGCAGCAAGACTTATCAAACTGCTTCGACGAGGCTACACGATCAGAATACTATTGTGGACATTCCTTCAATCATTTAAGGTTCGCTGTTTGTGTTTGAGTTTTTCTTGGACTCAGGTTTAAGATTCGTACAGCACAAATCAGTGTTTGTCAATGGGAGCAAGATTTGAACCTATCATAGACTTGTGACTGTCTGAAATATTTGTAACGAAATAGACTTCTTGATCGTGTAATGCACGACTTTTTCCCTATTCACGCGTTCGTTTCTGTAGTCGTAACAGCATCTGCTATATAATAACTCATTAATCCACTAAGGATATAATGTAATTACTTTGTTCTTAAATAGGCTTTTATGATTATATTAATAGGCTTTGTTTGTTGTCATGTCAATAGGCCTTACCTTACGTCACGCTACTTATCATGTTAATGTTCTTCATGTATGCCGTCATAGGGATGCAGGTAGGCTGTCGGAATCATTTTCCTCAATTCTTGCGTGGTTTTGTGTTATAATTGCGGTTAACATTATTTCATGAGTCAAAAGGACCAGGCATGCCTCTCTGGCAGACGTATATGCATTGAACGATAATTATCTGATCTGAGCTTCTGTTGCAGAGACTGGAACTCGGTTTTTTCCAGGTTGATTAGAGTTAGTTTCGTTGCTGGCAAGCAAGAAGTTGGCCATATTTTTTATTTATCGTCCATCAATAAATGAACGAAATCAAACCAACGGCATACGTTGTGTTCTCTTTTATGTTTCAGCTTTTTGGAAAAATAGCATTAGACCAATCTACAGAAATTAACACCAAGAATAATTTTCGAAATCTTCCTCAAGCTTTGCAGGTTCTGTTCAGGTGAGAATTAGATTAAAGAATTAGATAAAAGTTGGAAGGTGATCATACTTATGAGTATGATACATAATCCTTAATTTGGAATATTTCTGTATCGCGAATCAGTAATAATTACAAGGAACATATCTCTACATCTTTTGATGTTTTCTCTTTTCTTAGTAATGTATTTTCCCGTCTCTACCAGATCGGCGACCGGAGAAGACTGGCACAAGATAATGTTGGCTTGCTATGATGTTGCTAAATGTGATAAGAGTGTTGACATCAAAAAATATGGAGAACATTGCGGAACAACGGCAGGGGCTATAATATTCTTCTGCACATTTATATTTCTCTGTATGTTCTTGGTGAGTGACGAAATTCACGAATACAAGAACACTTCAAAAGAAATACTGAGTTTTCTCTTTCTATTTTTTTATCCGTCTGAGTTACAAGCTAACCTTCGGCCGCTGTTAAAGGCATGATTTCAAGTGAACTGTCATATTCTCTTTCAGATGTTGAATTTATTTGTGGCTGTTATCATGGATAACTTCGAATACCTGACTCGTGACGAGTCCATCCTTGGTCCTCACCACTTGGATGAATTTGTCCGCGTGTGGTCTGAGTTCGACCCTGGCGCCAGGTATATAAAATTCTAGCTAATACGTATGACATTTTTTTTTGTCGTGCTACATTGCTTCTGATACTGACGTGTTCTTGCTCCCCTTCAGTGGCTGTATACACCATAGCGAAATCTATAGGGTGATGTGCAGTATGTCACCTCCAGTTGGATTTGGAAAGAAATGTCCAAAGATTGTTGGTTATAAGGTGTGTAAGTTTATTTACACTTGGTTGAACTGACTTAACTTGACACCTATTCAGAGGTATGCAGTGTTTCGACACCAACTGAGAAAAGATGCAGTGTCTCTTAATTTCTCACTTACATTCAGCCTGAGTAACGCGTTTCTCGTCTTTAA